CCTTTTTTGAAATCATTTGATGTCTGTTTTTATGAAACAGGTGCCCAACCCGTGGCCACACTGCATAGCACAATACCAGCCAGTGCCTATGGGAAGGTAATGGGAATCAGTATAAAGCAGATTGGATCCAAGACAATGCTGCATTTACAACCCACTAGAGAGTCAGTTATCTGTACTCTGGTCCTCTGCCACAGGAATGAGACAGTGCTAAGAGAGCTTAAGGTAAGTGAAGTGTTTAGTTTGCAATATACTGTATGATTGAACTAAATAATCAAACTTAACAAGTCCTGTAGTATACATTAACCAAACCTAACTAAGTGATATTGCAATATAAAGTTGGATAATTTTAAACACATTTTCCAGCTTGTATGTCAAAAGACAGAGCATGTGTTGAGACTCGCACTTAAGGACCCTGCTGCTTTACTTGGAGGTGGTTGTACTGAGACTCTGCTAGCTGCTTACATCAGACACAAGGTAACAGCTGATATTTAATACGCCATGTGACATGTAACAGTTGCTTTATTTTCATAACACAACAAGTAAAATATATCTTGGTTTTAATCCTTAGTGCAATGAAGCAGAAGCTGCAGCACAGTTAAGATGCTCACAGTCAGAGTACCTTCTGGGCATGGAGGTGTTCTGCCATTCTCTGGAGTATGTTGCCAAAGCCTTGGATCATGATGGTGGGGATTCTTTAATTGATCTGAATCATGCCCACCACTGGAATCAGCCTGTAGAAACAATGAAAAATAGCTTGGAATATAGTTTGGGCAATTGTGGCTGCGGACTTCTAAGAAACAGTCCAGGTATGAAGTGGACGTACCTTAACACTGCCTACAGCCCATTCTCAGCATCATCCTCGTCTGCAGATCCAACAGCACAGCCACGCGTTCTGGACTCGTTCACAGCTAAACTTAATGCATTACAAGTCGCTGTAGAAACTGCTAATCTCGCACTGGATATAAGGTTCATCATTCAAGATTTAAATTAGTAGCTTTGTGTTTTAAATTTAATTTGTGATGAGTAACGTGTGAAATAAAAAAAACAAAAACATTTGACTACCACAAATGCAACCTGTATTTTTATTTATTTATTAACATTTTGGGGAGTTGGATTATGCTTGTCAATTTTGTATGTAAATTGGTTTGTAATTTATTATTTATGTATTTATTATGCAAACTAATGCTCAAGATTGTGTAATAGGGAAGAAACCAAGTTTGCACCAGAAACATCAGAGCATGACCAGACCTTTTTCCAATTATTGAAAGAAATCAAACAGTTACATCCATTTCTAATATAAAGTGTACAAAAACAAAGTTGCTCTTTTGTGTGACTGCAGATATGAAAAGAACAAGACAACAGCACAGACAGGCTTTTCAGGATATTTTACTTGTTTTGTAACATGAATCCATGGGTCTATTCCAAAGAGCCTTTTGGGATGCTTTGTCAGTGGAACCTGAGATTGAAACAACTCCATTACGGGAGCAGTAGAGTAGTACTGTATATTTTAGGTCTGTGGTGTACAAGTTCTTATCCTCTAAGCAAGAGTGAAATAATATAAAACAAACAAAAAAAAAAAAACATTTTCTGTGACACAACCAAAAAAATCCATTAACATAAAACAGTGTTGAGGTTCAGCCTAACAAGGTTAGGTGGAGAAAACAGAACACCACTCCCTGCTGGAGAGAGGAGATAACAGTTGGTGCCATTTCAGGCCAACAGATGCAACGGACAGGTCCGACACTCCTGTGCTATGGAGACATTGTTGGGCACAAAGTAAAGGGGAGAGTTTACATGTGGTGAAAAAAAAACACAAAAAATGCACAATGTAAAATAAGGACAAATAAAGAATATGCTTTATATGTATATGTGCAAGTGATAAAAGGCACAATAGCACAGTGTGTCATGATTTCCTACTTCCTAGTTTCCTTAAATTTTAGGTTAAAGATCAAGTGCATTCAGAGTTTATTATTTCAGTCTGCGCTGACTTTGTTCAACATTATTATTCAAATGCTGCTGAGTTAACGACGTACATCACCCAGAGGACTCGACAGCAACAGGAATCAGCCATTTGTATATTGTGATTCACACCATTGTTATGAGACTCCACTGCCACTGAAAGGAATAAACTTAGGTGTATTTAGTTGGGGTTTTTTTTACAGCTTATTATTGGAAAGATTTGCAGGAGAATTACGGGAAATATTATTGAATTGCAAATAACTAAATTCAGTATCATCATGACATTGTCCCTGACAGAAGGACTCGTCCCAATACTCTCTCACTTCAACAGAGTAAAAAAAATTGGAACACAAACTTTGAATAAGAATCATGAATTTCATCTTTAAATATGAACGAATAGAGCTGTGAATTACTACCATTGAACAAATGTAGTAACAGGTGCTTCCATGTATCTAACAGTCATAACCACCTTAATAACTGTTTTCAGCTTTGCTTTTGAATCTGCAGAAAACCTGTTGTTCTCATTTGACCAAACACCGTGACCCACACTTTTTTTTTTTGATAAGATTTTCATGGACAGAATAGCCCAGTAAAACACAATGCCTTTTATCAAAACTGAAAAACATTGTCATATTGTTTTTTAAGATGTTTTCCTATATTCCTATTCCTACTGGTCATGTGCAATATTGTCTTCCTCGAGGAGCTGCAGTTTAAACAAGAGGCAAAGGCAGTGTACATGTGAATGTGGACAATACCTATTAGCAAACAAGCACATATCACTGCAGAACTGGACTAAACTGGATTTGCTGTTATCCAAGTGCCGTGACTCAACTGGTAACACACCAATAGTGCACAACCCTGAAAATTGCAGTTTAGACAAAGATTATTGGAGTCAGACTTTTTTTGTTTGTTTTACACCAATTCTGTTTTAAAGCTACATTGTGTAAGAATTAGGTCAAATGTATTCCACACTTCATTGTGAAATCATTGTTTAAATCATTGTTTTCACCACTCTGCAGCTTATTTGCAACTGGAGTAGTTTCTTGTCCATGGTGTTGGATCAACGTATCCACAGTTGCATGTTTAACTGACAACTGAGAGCTAACATACACTCTCCTCTATGCATGGGCAGGGATAAGGCAACCAAAGTGTTTAATGTCACTGCTAGATGTGGCTAAATTTCACGCAGTATAGCTTCAATGGCAGCTCTGTTGCAGCGCCATCTGGAGTCTGGCCTGGGCATATTTGATATCTTCAGTGCTACACAAGTATGGAATCTGAGATTCAGCAGATAAACCATGTCTGTGGATTTGGAGCTTCACTGACAACACTGCATTTGTTCAAATCTACACACTACTGGAGTAAATACCATCACACCTAAGAATACTACAAATAAAAGAAGGAAATTAAACAGAATATACCAATAACACAGATCATATTTAATGAATTAGTATGAGAGTATATTGTTTTTGGTCTTGTATAAGGGAATTAGTCATTCATTTGTTAGCAACTACCATATACGTTATGCAACAGCAGAAATTACCCAAGTTGCATTTTCCTCAACGCAGTCAGTCAAAGTACACTCCACGTTCACATGGCAATTATTTTTGGTATTATAAGTTTTACTTTATGCAGTTTTTATTTTTTCTTCCTTTTTTCTGGGGACAAATTACATGAACACAGGATACCAAGTATCCTGAGTCTACCAAGAGTCTAATTGTTAAGATTCCATCACAACTCAAATTTATAGTATGAGAAAAACATAATTGAACTAAAAGAACAAATACCGTTCCTGTAAAACTAATTTCCCTCTCCCATTACTTACACCAGGACAAACTGTCATGCCTTTTTTACCGTTTCTACAAACCATTTCCTCTTATAACTCACTCCACCCACCCCACCCCACCCAAAAGAACAGATCTACCAAACTCTCTGACTCACACCTTTAACTGAGGGGAGGGCGGAAAAGATGGAGAGACAGAGGGAGAAGACTGTACTGGCTTTGAGTGTTTAGGTCCTTCCTGATCATAGTGTGTGTACCTTTGGGGTTTTCGGGTGAGAGGGAGGGTGTTTGTGTGGGTCATGGCGATAGATATTAAGGGCAGGGTGGTGGCGCTGCAATGGCTCCAACCAGAAGTCAACCTCAATGAACGACGAGAGCTCCAGCAGCGTAACTCACAGAGCTGTCCGACTTGTTCCTGCACTCGCTCGACTGGGCATAGTTGAGGAAAGTGAAGTCCATTCCTAAACCAGATTTCCTCAGTTCAGCTACAGCCTGAAAAAAAAAAAAAAAATCTAATTTTAACTCTTAATTTGGTTTAATTGCTCTTCACTACAAACCTTGTTTCCAGATAAGCTGTGAAACAAATAATCAATACAAGTAGTAAAAGTAATTATGTTATTTAGAAATTCATTTCAAATGTTTTTGGACTAGGACAGAGGTCAGGTAAAAATAAAGAGTTATCTATCTAGCTATCTATCAAATGTCTACCCAGAGTCCAGAGCAGAGAGTGCTTCATAATGTGCATGACCAGTACTGGATCAGAAGCTGTACTACAGTAACTTACACACAAACATCAGAATCTGAAATACTTTAGTGATCCCAATGGGTAAATCATTGCAGGAACTGGACACACAAAATGCTACCACAAAAGTCCACAGTTCAGGCTACTTGTGGGAAAATGGACTTAATGGAACTCAAATGTATTGTCCTAGTCAAATCACACAATTAAAGATTTGGATTTTAACTGCTTTATTAGGTGTATCAACCCTTGTGGGGTGGGATGTGGAGACTGATGCTGTATTAATACTGCTTAGGCAGCAATTAGGTACTGAAAAAAATTAAAACGAGCCACCTGGGAACTAAATATTTACTCTCACTAACAAACCTGCAAGTGGAGACAGAAGGGACAACAGATTTAAACTATTAAACAAAAGGCTCTTCTAATTAAACCTGCAGCTGCTCTGGTGTACAGTAGATCATTGCTATGTCTCCAGCTTTATGTTGCAGTTATTCAGACTCCACCATCTGGAAAACGATTTTTGTGAACTGTTCAATTCTCTTACACCATTCCATAGAAAGAATTGAGGAATTTTTCTTTTTCTTTTTTTAGCTCAGGGACAAAGAAAGTACTGTCAGCTCATTTGGTATATTTCTTTCACTGCAGTAAATCTGAACAAAGGATTTAAGTCTCCAGATGAGCCATTTTAAATCACAATACTGGTGTTGTTGAAGTTTTCAGAACTCCAAGACATTATTTTTCTGTAATAACAACGTCTGATTTCTTTGAGGATTCAAGAGTAAGAAAAATGCCCACGGGACACATTGGACAAAAGGGGCAATCGTGTTCGTGGTTCAGAAATGTTGTCACTGTGACTTCAGACACCATGGCAGTAATACTTAACTCATGATAGTACAGCAGAACAGAAGATGTTCCAACTACTCACAAGGTTGACCAAGTGAGTGACAAAAATATTTTTAGGTGTTAGAGCAGGTATGGGAAAAATGTGGCCAGATCTCCATCTATCTGCTCCTCTGCATCAGCCCCCCGGTCAAATTTTAGTAGCCATTGGCCGTTGAGTCACCCCTGTATTAAGAGACTTAATATACACATGCAGTTGTTGATCAACATTCAAGTCATTTTTAATCACTAGGACTAGTACCTGTAAAAGTTAGTCTGCATAAGATATTTTACATCCTCTAGTGTTATTTATGTCATTTATCCACAACAACATTTTAAACCCTGAAACATGTATGTTATTAAACAACTGAACCAGTTTTTATTTGCTCTACCTACATTTAGCAGCACTCCGATGGGGTGACGCCCACAGATGGTGTTGCGATACTTCTTCAAGTAGTTGGTGAAGGATATTGGATCCAGCTGCTCTATAATGCCCATCCCCTTGGAAAACAGAGAAAAAAAGCAAAGAATTAATTAATTACTCGCAAATTACTTAATAAAAATGTTAAGAGCCTTCTTTTTTTCAGCCTGCTTTTTATTGCAGTGATATTATGTATATACACAGGAATTTTGCTTTGATTTGTTTCTTCTGGGTTTTTTTTGGGGGGGGGAGGGTGACAGCAATTTTGAATTTTCTCAAAAGGTAATTGGTGACATTAGAGGTTGCCTTATTTTAGAAATCTGTTGTTTTCATATTGATGAGATGGATTTCACACACCAAGAAATCATAATAAATAATCTGTGAGTACTAATTGAAAACCTCTGGTTTAAAAAATACTCTTTATGAAGATAAATCCTGATGAAATTTCAATTAACAAGTGTTGTTTCTTCAAAATATTAAGATAATTTTCATACACAATTCTCCATGTGATCTGACACATTTTTGTGTAGTTTCCTGTGCACTTACCATTTTATCGAGATGTTCAATTGACCTGTAAATCTCCCCTTGAGATTCATCATAGTATGTGTAGTGGAAGCGATTGCCTTAAAGGACATGTACATCAGTACAGAAGTAATGTTTGACTTCATAAATTACAGATTTTAAAAAATACCTACCCCAGTGGCAGAAATCAGATGAGATGATGAAAAGGTTGGAAGGATCAGCCAGATACTTGCTTAGCACCTTTCCATATTCCTGCTCTTTAGATTCACTCAGGGCACCCACCAGCACAGGGACGATGCTAAAATCATCTTTGCGGCTACAACATCAAAATGATTCACTTATCACACATGAAAGGTGTTGCCTGCAGGATGTTACAAGAACATTGCACCTTTACTCCCTACAAGCATGCCTACGTTATTCATGTTTTTCTCCTCAGGGTCTAATTAAACATGTAAAAACATGAGCCTGAGCTGCTACATTACACTTTTGAACACCAAAATTGTTTTTTTCCCACAATTTAGTCAACCCAGCACCAATATAAACTTCTGTCATCCTCATTTACAACCTAAATATTTATTTTATGCTGAATACTTTAAGATATAAACCACATTGCTTATATTAATATTAATTCCTGGAGAAAAAACATGTTCACCTAATAACTTGAGAAAATTAATCTTTCAAATAAAACTTTAGTCGTGTGTCCATAATGCGCTTCAGCTGAAAACATTACCTCTCCATGGCTTTAGCAGTATAAGGCAAGTGCATTTCAATACTGTGTTCGTCTTGATCTGTCTTCATATTCATCCGCTCAAACAACCCAGTTTTCCAGAGGTCAGCATAAACTGTAAAACACAAGTAATTTATGTTTTAGTTGTGACTCTCACAACGATGTAGCAACTGCTAATGTCAATTTTTAAAACTCCGTGCATTGAAATCCAGATATTTGGGAATGCAGAACATGAAAGGAACACCTACCCTTCTGGTCAATTCTGAGGTCATAGAGAGGCGTTCTATATATTTCTGCAGACGACAGGGCACAACGGGATAGGGGCACATGGTGTGAAGGTCCCAGAATGAAGATTCTACGACTGAAGGGCAACAGCACTTTGTTTCACTTAATTTACAAAGACATATCACTAACTGGCACAGACTCTACAAGTCTTTAACTAAAAACTAATTTTCAATTAAAGACGTTTTTTGTTGTTTTGTTTTTTTTTACACCTGTTCATGCTTATACACTTTAAAAACACACATGTTACCACTACCATTGTCACCAACTTTTGCTAATCAAAACGTAAAACACAAATTAACAAAAAAGGAGGTTTTAAACATTTCTTTAAAATTACAGAAAAGCATAACTTACGTGATGGAAGGATCAACCTGTTTATAGGCATGTGCTGCACAAGCACCACAGTAGGTGTACCCAGCATGTCTGCAAACAAAAGTATGGCACATTACGGTGACAAGCATCTCAGATGGATAATATTTGACATGTTTAGATGACATTCTACTGCAGGGATTGAAATGTGCTCACGGTGCTATGATGGCTCGAGCAGGTCTGAAAGTGGACTGTGCTTGGGACAGCCAGCCCTCTAGTTGTGCATTCAGCTGAGGTCCTGAACAGGCAAAATAAAGAAAAAGGAAGGTTTACAAAAGAGGTTCCACAAAGTAATGTAATGTTTGTTTCTATTTGTTTCCTAGGAGATAAAAGAGCTGAGATGACAGCCAGAGCTAAAGGAAACGGAATTAAGCAAACGGGATCAGATCCCAGTGTGATTATGTTTTGTCTGAGATGTGCTATCTTCCATTTTTCCAAATATCCAATCCAGTTATTCTGACTATTGAACCAACACAAAATATTATATTGACAGTTTCCTGATTGTCATTAAATCTGCAGGGGAGACAAACAATTTATTTGGTTCTACATGGAAAGAAATGTCAATGTCAGTTCACCCGTTTAGTAAGCTTATAATAAAACACTGCTGCACTGGTAAAAGCACTGCATATACACTAGTTATGCAGTGACAGAAATGTAAATTATGAACAATGCAGTGAGCCCAAATGTGGATGCACAGACAGGCCAACCGTGAAATGGTGGAGGGGATGCAGCATTAGGCTTTACTTCTGCTCTACCCGATCCTTTGTTTCATAGGTTATTTTTAACGTTACTGAACTGGAGCCGCAGACCAAGTCGACGCCTGTTTAGTAGTAGATACAGTCAAAATGCTGACGGGGGGGCTCTATTATCCTGTAGAAGACTATCAGTAGGCCAGTGAGTTCTGCAATATAGTTAGTCATTATTGACTTGACAGGTTTGCATTCTTGTCAAAATAAAACGCTGGCTTGCAGATGAGCGTTTGCCTGGCAGCATTCTAATCTATCGCAAAAAGAAAAAAAAAAAGAAAGACGCCGAATTAGCTCAAAACAACCGGTAAACAATGAGAGCCGAGATGAGGCAGCTAATGTTGGCTAGCAGAGCTTTTTGAGAACTGGATTAGCACTGCATGATTAACGATTACTTTCCAAAGCAATAATGGCATGTATGATAATGGCAGCCTTGAGATTGTAGAGTAATTGCGGCGCCCTTACATGAATACGATTTAAGTAGATTTTTAGAATATACTTATATATAAAAGAAAACCAACATTCAGTTAGCATGCAGTGTGCTAACACAGTCGATTATTTGGCAGTTACCCGAAGCAGAGTACCAGCTCCCGGAATGACTAGCTTCTCTGCATATCGCTCGGTTCGACATCTTGGATCCCAAGCCGCCTATCTTGGTCTTCTTAACACTTGTCAGGCAAAAATGTAAACACCTAAAGCCGATGTGAGCTGACCCAGAGCAGAAACAACGCCTTCTGGCTGACTTGATTGCAAAGACAAAGGGCAGTCAGCCTGAAGACAGCTGGGCTTAGCAGGCTAACAAGCTTAGTGCTCCGTCAGCTGTTACCGGTTAGCAGTGAACTGTCGTTTTGATACGAACTCTTGTCAGTTTTTAAGTAGACTTGTAAAGGCACAGCTAGATAAACACTCTGAATGCTCGTTAACTGCAGCAGAAAACGCAAACCCAGGATACTGCCACAGTTAGGATTGGGATTGAAGATTTCTGGTTTATGTGTCGAGCCAGGTTTGGGGGGTGTTTTACAGGGCACTCACGGTTACGTCAGATAATTCTGATTTGGTGTTGCTTTAGAAACAGCACGGTGATTGGTAAAATGACTCAGAAGGCGTGGTTAAAACTCACCCGTTAGAAAAAGGTATATAGTCAGTACAACAAACCACCATGACATGTGGTTTTGATTCTAAATCTAAAAATGCTAAAATGTTCATTGTAACCATTTATACAACATTAAATAGAGTCTTAAACTCTATTTAATGAGAGACAGAGTTTTCTTAGTGCCTCACTTTTATAAATCTTTTCTTATTAATTGTCTCATTGTGAACCAGTTCACCCTTACTACGCTTTGAACACATTTAGCAAAAAGTATATTCTCACAAGTTATTTTTTTTTTACAATTTAATTCTAATTCTGTGCTAAATTCACAATACTCAGATTGTACTGGATCATACAAAATGTCCACTTGCGAGATTCCCTTTAAGTGCTCCTATATTGCAACACATATAATTGAGATAAAGGATACAGCAATGGCATGGGGGGTTGGTTTGAGACAAGAAGTGTTAAAGTCAAAAAGAAGAAAGAATAAAAGGAATTTTTACAACAGGAACAGGAAGTAAAGGTTGTTCTAGTGTATGCTTTGGATACAGTTAATCTTTCTTTTAGGCTTGCACTGAAGGCGGCGGACTTTATGATGCATACCTTTTCATCTGAAGAGACCAAGTTGCAAAAGATTAGAAATGTGCATGTCAGAGGTACTGTTAAAGATTCAAGAACAGGTAAGAGAGGCAGGACCAAAAATGGTGCCAACGATGCCTCAAATGAAATGACATTGAGTCAGGATAAATACCATAACATGCTAAATACCATTTGCAAATATTTGCATCTTTCCAAATAGCACATATCTAATGAGCTTTAAGGTGGTTAATTTCCAATCATTCTTATTATTAATGATAATTATTATCATATTGTATATTATCATTCTTTTTAGAACCAGGCTCAATTTTTAAAAAATAAAACAAAGACACTTGTCTCCACACAGTGTCTAAAGTTAATTTTGTTACCCTAAAAGACGTCCTTCTCAAATACATTTTCCTCATTTATGTTCCATTCTATCCATCTATCTAATTCATTCTGTACTGCTTTGTTCAATTTTCTGTATGTTTGCATTTTTCTGACATCACTTGTCTTTAAAGCCAGTACTTTAACGTCACATATCTCGAGTACTAAAATAGAAAATAGACTACATGACATAACTACAATGTACATACCAACTGCCGTATAAAATGAAAATACATGCCGGAAATATGGTGAACTGTAATTTAGTAATAGATTAACTATGAGGGCAGAAATTAAGGCACCAATTAAATATTGGGCAGTTGTTTCGGACTGATATCTAGTGCGCACACTCAAACGGAAGCCGGAAGTTGTATGCGGATCGACTGTGTTTCTGAGGAGCCATCATAGCTGTTACTTATGCGACAACACTGTTATGTGGGAAAGGTATCGCGACTTCATGGCTATACAGATGTGCATTTATAAAACGTATGCATGACCGTGTCCATTACTGCATTTGGGGACTTTTAAAAGAAAAGAGACCGGTGACGTGAGAGTGATGTCGACCAAAACAAACGCAAGTAAAAGCAAAGACAGCGGCGAAGTTATAAAAAACTACCACAAGCAGGCGTTTGAGTACATTTCGAAAGCATTAAGGATTGACGAAGATGACTCAGGTTGGTTTGCAAGGTCGATTCGCTTTCAGCTGATGAGCAGTCATGTATTGTGTGTGACAGACAGTGGTGATGTAAACATCCTCTCTGCTGACAGGTGAAAAAGACGAGGCTGTACAGTGGTACAAGAAGGGCATCGCTGAGCTGGAAAAGGGTATAGTTGTGGAGATCATAGCAGAAGGTAATTAAGAGATGGTCCCCACAGTCAGAGGATGTACTATGCTACCAAGCTTCAGTTTAATATTTAATATTTAATTTGTTTCTTTTTTTTTTTTCAAACAGGTGACCATTATGAAAGAGCAAAGAGACTACAGGATAAAATGATCAACAATCTCTCTATGGCAAAAGACAGACTGGCTCTGTTAGGTACAGTAATTTCAACTTTGCTATCTATTTTTGTGATGTGTAGGGACAAGGATACTTTTCAGTAGTACTGCCCCCTGTGACAGAATTGAAACATGGCGACATTAACACAGTAAGAACTGTTTTTGTTCGTTTGTTAATGTTTTTAAGCCTTTAGAAAATGTACATAAACAGTGGCTTTCATTTGTTATATTGTCTTTGTTTTTGTGGCCTAATTCTAATTGACCTCTGTGGTCCTATGTCAACCAGAACATGTCAAAGCACACAATTGTACAATAATCACCATAACAACCAAGTTAAGAAGTTGTTCTCTATTCAAGTGCCTAAAGTTACAGTGTTAGTAATCACAATAATAGTAATGTACTTATTACTTAACATTCACCATATATTGATGTCCTGTACAACAGAGACAACACTGGCTTCTAAAAGTAAGAATGTACCCAAGAAGACCTCAAATCCGGTGCTACCACAACCACAGCCTAGTCCTAAAAGTCAGCCTGCAGTGCCTGGAGTGTCCACAAACAACAGGCCCTCCACTGCTGTCAGACCTCCATCAAGAGCCACTGTTTCAAAGGTGAGATTTAAAAAAAGTATGTAGCTGCATTTGTGAAGAATCAACATGAATGCAACTTGATGCATAGATACAAATGAAACGTCTTTTTCCCTGTAACATACTCAGGTGACGCCAAAAGTGACAAAAGCTCAAAATGGAAAACCATCAGCAGTGAAACAGCCACAAAAAAGAGACATGAAAAACTTTAAAAATGTTGACAGCAAGTTGGCCAACTTGATTTTAAATGAAATTGTTGACAGGTATTTAGGAGCATTTTTTCCTAACTTAAAAAAAGTGCTGTCTTCAATACACCAGATAAGAGATAGTTGTATTTATCATGTGTCTATATTTTTGTTGTAGTGGACCGACTGTCTCATTCGGAGACATTGCTGGACAAGATCTGGCAAAGCAAGCACTTCAAGAGATTGTTATCCTACCTGCTATTAGACCAGAGGTAATCTTGTGTTTATTTTGTGTCACACATGACAACACTTCGAATTACCATGTGAAAATTATACAGTATTTTTCTCCCTAGCTTTTCACTGGCCTGAGAGCTCCACCACGTGGTTTGCTTTTATTTGGTCCACCTGGAAATGGAAAAACAATGCTGGTAAAACAAACACCTGTTCCAAAACATAATGTTAAATAATGTTTGTTTGCAGTAGTTGTTTTCCAAAGAGATTATAACCAAATAATGTCAATGATTAATCTCACCAGGCCAAAGCAGTCGCAACTGAGTCGAACGCAACATTCTTCAACATTAGTGCTGCAAGTTTGACCTCCAAATATGTAAGAAAAAGCCCTGAGACCTCTTTATGTCAAGACCTGGTTTTAAATTCAGCATCTTTATGTTTTTAACAACATTGCCATTGTCTTCACAGGTGGGAGAAGGCGAGAAGCTTGTTCGAGCCCTTTTTGCTGTTGCCAGAGAACTGCAGCCCTCTATCATCTTTATCGGTTTGATTTTTTGAAAAAAAACCCAAATAAATGAAAATAACCACATACTTTATGTATGTTCACTGAATGGAAAAAGTCAGATTTTTCATTTTCAAATTTTTACTTCCAGATGAGGTGGATAGCTTGCTGTGTGAAAGGCGGGAGGGAGAACACGAGTCCTCTCGTCGGTTGAAAACTGAGTTTCTGATCGAGTTTGATGGCGTAAGATCTGTCTTTTTTTTCTATCCTGTCCTAAGTTTGTAGTATGTTAAAAGTCTCATAATCAAATTGGGGGGGGGGGGGGGGGGGTTATTTAAAGCTTTAAAGGAGAAGTGCTGGGTGTTTTCATTTTAACACCCAGAAAGCCAAATGTCGGGCCGGTGCAGAAAATCTAGGGGGATGGGGGGGAGTAAGGAAGGTTAATAAAAAAAAAAAAGAATTAAACAATGTTAAAAGTAAAAGTATCTCTATAATCTGTTAGGTGCACAAGTGTCTGGGACATTTTACACAGCTGTATTGCTTGGTTTTAGGTACATTCAGGAGGAGATGACCGAGTGCTTGTAATGGGAGCAACTAACAGACCTCAGGAACTGGATGAAGCAGTTCTGAGGTATACTATGAAAATACCCAATCCTTCATAATAATACAGAAATAGTTGTGTTTTATTTGTACTTTTTACACTTACTTTGTTCTATTTATTTAAAGGCGGTTCGCCAAGAGGCTTTACGTGACATTGCCAGATGAGCAGGTATTTACAGACCAATCATGTCTGTGTACTACGGTTGTTTTAAAATTTGAATTTCATTTCATTTATGCTGAAATTTGCAATTCTACATTTTTTTTTCTCCAGACAAGATGCACACTTCTGATAAATCTATTGGGAAAACATGGAAATCCACTCAGCAAGAGTGAAATGTCCTATCTGGCAAAGTTAGTCTCATATTAACAGCATATTAACACAGTTTTCCCAATCACTGTATGGAACTGTACTGTACTTCATGTGTTCTAATGTTGTTCCCGGTGTCATTTGAACAGACAGACGGCAGGATACTCAGGCAGTGATTTGACATCTTTAGCTAAAGATGCTGCACTGGGGCCGATTAGGGGTAGGGGCTTTTCATCACATTAGTGTGTCGATCCCATACTAAACTGTGTGTGTACATTGAAAATGTTCTGCGAGAATATGACGATGTATTTGTCTTACAGAGCTGGGGCCAGTTCAGGTCCGATCTATGGCTGCTAATGAGGTGAGATTGTTTCCTTCTCGGTGCTTTGCATTTTCCATTTCAACTGCTTGTTTGTTTTTTACATGCTAGTGTTGCACACAGTGTCAGTTACACACGTTGGTGCCGTTTCAGATGAGAAACATCAGGAAGAAGGACTTTGAAGATTCCCTCAAAAGAATCAAACCCAGCGTTAGTCCAGCCACTCTCAACATGTATGCAAAGTGGAATGAGGATTTTGGTGACACAACGGCGTTTTGAACTTAACAACATAGTTAAATGTCAAAAAATGTAAAAATTACCTTTGATTCCTTTGTTTTACCGTGTGGTTCACAACAGCAATATGAACCTGAAAAAAAAACTTTTGGTTTATACCTTACATGTACTATGTGGGGAAAAGAATAATGACTCAAAAAACAACTTTCCTTTTTTTTTTTTTTTTTTTTGGAAAGCACAAACAAGGTTGTGTGTCTTTTGAATTACATTTCTTTGAGATTGTGCTCTTAAAGTACAGTTGTAGCTTTGCTACTTTAAAAAAAACATAATTTATTTTTTTCTCTGACTACTAGAGGGCAGCAAGTTTCTCTAACTTTAGTAAAAACAATTTCCACATCCTACAGTGGCATGGAGTAATGACAAGTTGATGGTATTGGTCACCAAGTGTTCTCTGTACTTGTACATAAAAAGAATGATAGTAATTGGACAGAATTTGCCATGGTGGGCTTTTGTGCGATATGTATTGCATTTGCTGTTGTTTACAAATATAAATATTGAAACTGTATTTGCAAACCGGGATAATAACGTTGCTCTAAGTGATCATCAAATCAAACAGAGTTATGGTATTGTGTTTGAAATATTCGATTGAGCTGCAGTGTAAAAGCTCCACTTCCCTTTTACACCAATAAATGCATTCACCAAGAGTTTGGACTTTACATTTCTGGTTTGCATGTGATGGCAGCAAACAGGTTGATAGTTAGCAAAAAGGAATTATATTTATTAAAGATAAGAATAATATTTTACAATATGATAGTAAGAGATACACTGCTTTTGTGGGGGAAAAAACCCAACTTTACTTTGTAGCCCAAAGGGATTTTCTTCTGTAGACCCTGGACCAGTTTTACCAAGCAGTAAAAGTTCCTTGCCTTATACAGTCCATGACAGAATAGCAGAATAAGACTTCTGATCATGGAGCCAAAAACCTTGGTTCAAATCCCTGTCTTTGAAGACAACTGTGAGACTTACTAAGATATTCCATTTTCTTGTTAGGACATGAAGTAGTTTCACCAACTAATAAAACATTGCAACTCATTTTAAATGGTAATATAATGACTCACCTATTCCTATGGTGAATAACAGTCCCCGCATACCACTAGAGAGAGCCAAAGTACCATCAGTCTTAGCCAAACAACAGTTTGCAGAGACCAACTGCTCTCTTTTTTAGGGTGGAAAATCTAATAGTAAGCTTAAAAAATATATTGGCTTTGTATATAAATTAAATAAACTTTCTAAACTTAATTAGTATCACATTGTTACAGTGGCGAACACCAACGGGAATTTTTTTTATAATCAAAACATTGGCATTTCTTTATGTCTAAAGGTAGATGGTGCTAGAGTTCACGATTTCAATTTACGGTAATTACTGCGGCAACAAGTGAAATATTTTGCATGTAAGCGCAGATGTGAGGAATGTATTAAATTACTACAAATATGTGTTTACTTTAAATGCTGCTCTACTGTGTTGGCTCTCATATTGAATGATGGCTGGCTTAACTTCACAGTGTTGTGTGACTTATGTCTTGACTTTTTCAAATTAATATTTATGTTCTCATAGGAGCCATAAAGGGTGTCACACCACTGATGTGAGGCTACATGTGATGCAAAACTGTGGCTTGAACGGGGGTCAGCAGCTGTCAGAGTCGTTCAGGGTCAGTGGTCAGTCGGTTAGAAAACTAAAAACTTCATCAAGTACCACTTCTGTCTATGAAGCCCATCACATGGTCAGGTCTCCTGGTGCTGCCTCTGGTTTATGTGGTCTTTTTTCTCCAGCACATGTTTACAGACTCTCCACATTTAAACATTTTCTCCTTTAAAGCCTGAGGTTATCATGAAATTTTAAAAAAATCCAAATGCAAAACACTCCCAGAATTGCAACCACACCTTGAGGACTACCCTCTTCCCCGGGGGGAGAGATATTGGCTGGAGTGTGTTTTTTAACGTGTCATGGCTGAAGAGCTCCTTTCATGATGGCAGGCTGGAGTGAGGTGTGTTAGGAGTTAAGGGTTTAGTCATCACCTCTCCTCTGTTTGCTCTTCCCTGTGAGCATCCTGCACTGTAAACAAATGGCCTTTAGGGTGGACAGGTTAGAGGACTATTTAGTGATTTTATTTGGAGGGTTAAATTCCACTTACAGGTGGTGAAATCAACCAACATGTGGTGATATTTCAACACAACCTGCACCTGCTGTTAAACAGCCCAAAATATCTGCAATCAAAATGCTAATTATGGTGAATTTCGGAGCGTATTTAATCAATTTTAGCAGTTTCTCTTCAATTTTCTGACCACTTCACCCACTTCAGGGAAAACAGAATTGATAGCTTCAGTGAGAAGCCCACCCTGTAGAGAGTAGAATAATATTCAACACAGTGAGGACCTCTCACTGACTAAGTAAACAGTACGCGAGTGTTGCCTAAAGTGGTACATTATGAAAACAGCAGTGGGGTCACAGGGTTTTGTTTTATGTAGGATTTATCTAGGAATTAATAGTTACTCGGTGGAAGTATTACAAATAAGTCAGACATTATTTTTAACCTTATACTTTTAATATAAATTCATCAGGGCAGTGTTGGAGTGAGCATCTGATCTGCACTATCCTTTAACAACACATTGTTGTTTGGTGATTTCTCTAAATATTTAGAAGTTAGTTGCTGTTTGTTATGTTGGTGGGTGTGGACAGTGGGCTTCACAGTGAAAGGCCTTCAGAGCTGTTTCCACATATCAGCACTGACTGCTACTGTTCCACTGACCTGAAAACCCACACCATACACGTTCTTTCATTTGCCATGGCAGTGTTGTCTTTGTCTCCCACAGGAGAACCGAGTCGTGTATCTTATTGCAGCATCTGTCTTTTATGAGCAAATTTATTTTCTCTGCTCGCTGTTTATTTATGTGGGGGAGCTGTGAGGATAGAGGGGTGTGTGTGAGAGTGTGTGGGTGAGTGTGTTTGATGGTTAAAAATGGGGTGTCACTGCACATTTATTTAAATGTTTTGGATGGAAATAATATCTAGACAACTTATATAAATGGAGAAGACTAAAGCTACACTGGTTTAGATATTTGTGACCAAAAGTGACAAAAACAACTGATAATGACATGCTAAATAAATTCAGGATCACATGGTCTCATACAGTTGTAGCTTTCACCAAACTACTTGCAGGTGGCTTATTTTGCAGACGGCATAACTCAAAGTGAACCACAATGAACTTATGACTTTTCCATTTCCTGTGCAGCCTGCAGCCAAGGCTACAACAAGAGAAGGGAGCTGATTCTGTTATGCCAACACATGACCTGCAGAGCCATTAATCTCAGCAGCGTTGTCTGAGATAATGAGGCCAAAGACCTGTCTATGACTTCACACAATCTGCTGATGTATTGTACCTGACATCAGCTGAGGTCATTCATCAACAAATGTCTGAAATATTATGTTTTTCTTACACTGTGTACACGTTACCAGGAACCAGGAGACAAACATCTTTAAAAGGAGCAGGACCGTAATGTCTATCTCTCAGGTTGGCAGATGAACGCCAAATGATGTTAGATCACAAATCCAGACTGACCTGGACATGTCGGGACATGGCTTTACCGGAGGAAGGAGTGAATTGAATCTGGGGAAAATGTTGCATTGTCCGGACGAGCCTGCGGGCTTGCCTGTGGTGCATCACTGCCACGCAGGTGTGGCGAATAC